TTAAAAATTATATTAATTTTTTAAAATTTTTAAATATAAATTACTTTTAATATATTAGTTTAATTTTAATAAACTTTATAATTTAGAATTAAAAGTTTGTTTTAACAACTTTATTTATAACTTTAAATAAAATTTATTGAATAAAATTTTTTTAAATTATTATTAAAAATTAAAGAACTTATATAAACTACTAAAAAAAGATTAGTAAAAGCTAATATATTTAGTATGTATAAACTTGGAAATGATCTATATATTACATAAATTATATACTTGATATTAATATAAATCATTAACCAATACATTATCAAAAAAGTAACCTTAACTGTATCAAAAAAGTGATTTAACACATCTTGCTTTTGCTATCCCCTAAAAATAGTAATGATTTTTAACTAACAGCTTACAAATCTTTATAGTAAAAATAATATTTTTTATAATATAATCAATAATAAAATTTTAAATATAATAAGCTTTAAATATTTTTTATATAATTAAAAATTATTTACAAATTTTATTAAAAAATTTTTGAATAAAATTAGTATAAATCATATACTATACATGGTATACTAAAAGCTACAGAAAATAGCAGTTAAAAGTTTTTTATTTTTTCAAGAATTTTAGCTAAACTATACTATAACATTTATTAGATTTTTGTATATAAAAATTATTTAGATAAATATTTTTTAGATTTTAAACTTTTTTTTAACTATACTACTGTTAGTCTAAAAGTATAAATTCTATCCATTAATATATATTTAATAATCTTTAAAAAATATGTAAATTCTATTTTTAGGGGTTGTTTAAAGCCATGTACTCGCATGGCTTTTTTGTATAAATCAACCAACCGGAATTGTGAAATTTTGTTTACACATATCAGTCCGAAGAAGTTAAAAAATAAAGAAAATGCAAAAAGATGAAAAACGAGTCTTAATCTATCTTGGGGCACTAATTAAAAATATCAGGAAGGCAATTTTACTTATACTTCTTTTCTTATATTAATACCCAACTAACTCTAATTCTAACTTTAATTTTAATTTAAATAATTAAAATATTAAAATCATGTGGGTACATGGCTTTAGCTATCACCTATTTTTTAAGGATCAAGTATCACCAGTCTAAAAAATTTCGCTCATCATGTGATCTTATTTGAAACTAATAAAAAAATTTTGCTAAGAAAAGAAGTTTTGCAATTAGATTAGGGTAGGGTCTTGCTAAAAAAAAGTTAGGTTTAAAAAGTTATAGCTATACTAAAATTTTGCAAAAAAGATTTTTGTTAGTGTATAGAAGGCAGTTTCATAGACTAAATTTTGAGTTATGAGCAATTTTTGACAAAATAGATATTTGTTTTAAATTTTCCTGATCGTGCAATGTTATACCTGATCTTGAAATTTGATTGGTCAGCAAAATTTTTTAGACTAATATTTTAAACACTATTTCTATTTTTAGCAAGTGATTGTTATTATTTACAGCTGAACTGTAGATATTGATGCATTTTTTATTCTACTAGGTTTTTGTTAAAGAAAACATTTTTAGTTAGCTATTTAAAAGTTATTCTAAAATTTTCTTAACTTGTTCATCATTATCATTGAAATCTTTAAAATTTTTCAGTAAATTTAATATTTCTTTTCTTATTGTATATTTTTCTTTAGTTAAATTTTCTTCGATATTAATCATTATTTTACTTCTAGTTTTTATATTTTTATCAAGTTTATTATCTAAATTTATCTTTTTATAAAAGCTTGCAATGAAATAAATATTAGAGATATGACAAAAATCAGGTGATTTTTTAGGGGAAGGGGTAAAAATTTAAAATTATATATAAAGACTTAATCAAAATATATAGTAAGAGGGGAGAGGGGGTAAGCCTCTGATAAAAAAAAATCAGATGATAAATAACACTGCCCTTATAATTATTTTGTTCTTTATGTTATCCAAATCTATAATTATTAATTTTTATCTCATACTTTTATTGCATCACATTTTTTTTATTTTACTACAGTGCAGGCATTCTTAAATCAACATATAAAATACATAATTTTTAAAAATTTATAAATAAAAAACTAAAATAATTATAAATTAAATCTCTTTATAAAATAATAAAATAAAATCTAAAGAACAAAGTTACAAAGCTTATTTTTTAGTTAATTAATATTTAATAAAGTTATATCCTTTTGAAGTTATTAATAAAATAAAAATTTGGCTACATATATATATAAAAACATAATAAAACTTCAAAAAATATAATAAAATTTTAAAAAATATAATAAAATTTTAAGCTATTAGCCAATTAGAATTTAGTATTTTGTCTCAAATTTGGCCACTTTTAAAAGTTGTTGGTTTAAGGATGCCTGCACTATAATTTGTATTTTCTTTGCTTCACTATTTGCTGCTTGTTTCAAGTTATAATTTAATATCATTATATCTTCTATAATACATAACAGTGATAAACTTATTGCCATTATTATATCATTTATTTTATTCACATCATAGATTAGAATTATATCAGCCGATTCATTTTTTTTGATTTTCTAATACACCTTTCAGGTTGTTACATCTCTTTTGATATTTGTATCTGAATACTGATATGTTATATTTTTTAACTCTCTTATTTGACTTTCTAGTTTTTCTTAATCTTTTGATTTCATTATTTTTTAATCATTTTTGCATGCTAATTCAAGTAAAAGGAAATCATTGTCTTAACTTTTTTTGGTTTATTATCACCAAAATGATCAAGTAATCTTGCAAGAAATAAACTATAAATTGCAAAGACTATTTTTGTAATAGAAGAGTTGGTGCTAAATAAGTAAATAACCTGATATAGTACTACTGCTGGACATGTTATAGTAGCAATTATAACAATATAAACCAATGACAAAGTGATTAAAATAATAATGTTTGTTAAGCCAATTATTAGTTTTTTGATAAAATATGATAAGTTTTTCAGATATTTTAAAATTTGAAATTGTGACAAAAAGATAAAATATGCAGTATATATTTATATTCTGCATTTCCTAGTTTCAAAGTTTTCTGCACAATATCCATTAACATAAAAAATAGAGTAATGAGAATTATTAATATCATCATAAATAATCATTTGATATTGGAAGCCAAGAAAAAAAATTATAAAATAAATTTCATGTAGCATAAATTTTTTTTCAAATACGTATGGAATAATATAAATTTATCTTTGCTATTAATTTTCAATCTTTTATAAAGTTTTTGTATTATAAATTAAGCCTTAATCTTAATTGAATAGCTTTTATCATTCTTTTCATCATCATTCTTAATTAATCTGTCTTTATCATTCTTTTCATCATTATTCTTAATTGATCTGTCTTTATAATCTTTTACTTCATCATCTTTAACCTTATCTTCATAGCTCTCAATTATTTGCTTCTCTGATTCTTTGACATGTAGCTATCATCATTAATTATCTTAATTTCTACATTTATAACTACTGATCACAAAATGTGGTAAATTATCCAGGCAGGAATAATGACATATAACATTATAATAAATTTATATTGGTATAATAGAAAAACCATTGAAGTCTATTAATAAGAGGATATACAATAACAGATGAAAAAATAATCAAATCATCAAATATACTTATAAAGAAATGTCTTTTTGTTTGTCTTTTTCAAAGGATTTACTGTAACAAATATAGTTGAAGTATAGTGATGGTATCATTAAGTGGATCATAATCATTCAACACCATTTATTAATTAATGCATTGAAAAATAAATTGTATTTATAAGAAATATATAGATTTAAAGCTTATTTTTAAGAAAAAATTGACTTTATATAACTTTGTAGTACGTGTGCAGTTTCTTCAATGCCTTATTATTATCATTATACAGTACATGCGTATGTATTGTCACAGGCCAAAAGTGATATTTCTGAAAATCATAATAAACCCTGCCTCAAAAACAAACTTTTAAAGGCTTGGATGGCACATGGGGCTTGTCGGCGAAAGGTTATTGAAAAAAGATGGGCAATTTAAAATAATAAAGAGTCACAGTGCATAAAAGGCTTAGTATAACCTTTATTAGTTCGTTATTTAAATGACATTAACTTTACTTAGGTGGGGCTGATTATGGCACGTTCTTATGTGCGAGGTAGAGGCGCATAAGAATACTAACCCAAAGTTAGTCTTTATATTCCAGAATTCGATCTAATCACAATAGTCACGCCTCTGCCGAAAAACAGTTCACCCTGTGACAGTACGCACGTAAAGCACATACTTCCACCCAATACCATCATAAGGTCATAATTTATATTTCATTTTACATTTAATATTTCCTTTTATTTTATTTGTTTTTTATTTTATTTATTCATTCAATTTAATGTTCTTTTTTTTTTGATTTTAGTTTTATTTATTTTCGAAATCATCAAAGCATATCGCATCACACATTTTATTTGTTTGGGCTATGCTGACAAGTTACTTTTAGGCCAGAGGTTGATTTTATTTAAACAATTAAACTTATATCAGCACAGTGCATGATATAGAAGCGAGTAAGTGACCGAGATTAGTAATGACATTCCGAGAAATTTGCAAAATTATTACACTGAAAATCGCCATAAGACTGATAAGCCAGTGGTTTCCCGCTTGTCGAAGCAAGCTGACTGTGAGCAAAGAATGTGATTAGAGAAACGATGGGATCACGCATTCTTCCTTTTCGGGTGGATCAAGAAAAATTTGTTTCTGGGTTTTCCCTTTTGCATTATTCCTGCAATGTTGACATATGTCGCTACATTATTCACATATGATTCTCAACCATTAATCAGTTTCTTTGTGAGAATTGACGTCACACTCGAGCTGCTGCTTCTCTTTTCGATCACGCGATCTACCATCATTTTGTATTTTGTTTATTTATCGTTATTTTTTTTGCTGTAGATATATATGGATATGCGGATCATCGCGACTTGTGTTACAGAATTCATGGATTAGAATTTGGAGCCAGTTAAGAAAATTTAAGTTTTCATCTTAGCCTCAAAAGAATTGTAGTAATAAATGGAATATGTTATTAAATAAAATAAAACTGTAATAAACAATTAAGTTAATTTTAACTTAACTTTGCCCAAAAAAAAAATCCAATAAATCTTGAGATCATGTGGGATCTTTGCTATGAAAATGACCCTCCGAGGCTATGTTGATTTTGTGAATAAAAATTAAATTTGCTAACCATCTAGTTATCCAATTTGAATGAACTTTTTTTTTTATTTTGTGGAGCTAAATAAGCTCTACAAAATAAAAAAAGATCATTCGAATTGGATAACTAGATGGTTAGCAAATTTAATTTTTATTCACAAAATCAACATAGCCTCGGAGGGTCATTTTCATAGCAAAGATCACATGTAATATTTTAACTGCCATTCTACATAATACAAGTCACTCTCGTTATAGTGAACTCTTGATATAGTGAAGATCTTGATATAGTGAAGAATTTTTTTTAAATTCATTGCCATTATTATTAACTCTTCGCTCGATAT